CAGCCAGTCTCGGCGCAGCGTATATCCTCATGGATTACTTCCTGCATTCAACTGTGCTACGAGGGCGCGGGTAGAGCACCGCCGCGCATAACAGCACATTCCACGAGAGCCCAGGCAACGTCGGCGGCGTTCCTTGCCCATGGGCCGATCTTGGAAATCTGCAGGGCAGCAACCTGGTCATCGGTGCACACTTTTGCAGAGCATTATGCAATTACGCAACTGGCCAGGGAGGATGCTGCCGTCGGGAGGGCAAGCACTCGAAGAAGAAGAGGTTACTTACCTCGTAACTGTAGTTCTTCGAGATGTGTTGCTCATGTCCATTCTGCATCCCACCCACCTCCCCGTGTCGGAAGGAGCCGGCAAGAAGGCAAGCACTCGAAGAAGAAGAGGTTACTTACCTCGTAACTGTAGTTCTTCGAGATGTGTTGCTCATGTCCATTCTGCATCCCACCCACCTCCCCGTGTCGGAAGGAGCCGGCAAGAAGGAACTGGGGGTGGAGGGGCCAGCAGGGGTATATATGCACCGGTATACCAGCGCCACTCCAGGGGGCTCCCTGCTGGCCCTATGGATACTGCTAAGGGGAAAAAAAGCTCCGGAATCTGTGCACGTGGCACGCGTACACCTAATCAGAAACACTTCTCTCCTATCCCAGCAGCTCTAGCAAGGGGATTTAATTAAATGTACTGGATGTTTTGAAAGCATACACGCTGTTATCTTGGTTCAAGCATTTTATTAATGTTATGTGATGAAATTCCTTTTTCAGCTAATTTTGGAAATATCCTGGATCTGTCCTCAATGAAGCTGGTTCAGTGCCAGTAGGGTGGTGTGTGATATGGACTGTCCTCTTTCTCTTCTCCATTAAAAGGGTAGTCCGATACTAACGATGGGCACCCACATAAATGTCCATTTTCAGTGTTTGGATGACTTGCCTGGACCATTGTTTCTTATGCAGGCTAGAAACCTGCAGAGGGGATGACTTGTGCTTAATCTGAAGTGTATCTATATCTATTTTTGTTAGCGCAAGCATAATTGTCTAGGAAAGCATTTTACTTTCTAACAGCTATATGTATGACACATGCTATGTATCTGGGCCCTTCTATTTGCATTAGGTCAGGGTTGGGCAAAATACGGCCCGTAGGCCACATCTGGCCTGCCAAGATGTTGGATCCAACCTGCAGATGCAGCAGGGAGCTCAGGTAGGCTGCCTGCCTGCCCTGCTTCTCCACCCAC